ATCTTGTTGTGTGAGAATCGTAACACTTTAGAAAAAACAAACCTTGAAACACGTGGGGAGTGGAATGAGGTTTTCAAAAACCAGGGTCTCAATTTCATTTGATTAGGGGATTGAAATTGGACTGATTTCATCTGAAATCGACGCAAGTCGGGTACCCAAATCATGTGAAAATCTGGTAATGAAAATCAGCGCATCTCAGGGTTCAATTTCTAGGGGTGGACTTGGCATGATTTCATTTGAAATCAGTCCAAGTCCTAGGAAGGTCAGGGGTGCCAGTCCATCTCAGGGTTCAGAAATTCTACCCCCTAGATGGACTGGCAGGTGGTAGCCAAAAGGAAGATGGACTGATTTCAAATGAAATCTGCGCAAGTCACCCCCTCAAAATCTGACCTATGAGTTGGACTGGTCTTGATTTTCGATATATGACTTTCAAGAGATTTTGGCCCACAAAGTATCTCATTTGATCATGGTTCCCATGGAACAAGTTCCTGATCTGCCTGGGCTTGATCTGGAGAAGCTAGACCCTTGGACTTTGATATCATGTGTTGACTTTCACCTTGAACCTATTGCAAGGTTGTAAAACAGGAATGAGGGCACAGGAATGAGGGCAAATACATACATGAGATCTTTATTCGGGTGCCATTTGGGAGACTTGCCACCCAATCAGAATGATTCAGGACAAGGAGCGGCACCTGGATGTAGACGCTTCTGCTGCAGTGGAAGATGCCACCACGGTAGCACCTTCAGACTCTTTGTCATCCACCACGTTGCCACTAGATGCTGTCTTTGATGACTTGTATGACCAGGTTGCCAAAGTGATTGAGAGTTCCCACATTGGTTTCAGAAACAGTTCTCCAATTTTGTGATTTCTGTTGAATGGGTCAAGCAAAGGTCAAGCATGTGTCTCTGGTATTTTGTTCTACCTCATTGCTTGTTTGGGAAGGTGCTGGTGGTCCACGGCAGTACTTGCACTTGGTGTTCCCCCACAGAGCTGAACGCGTGTCTGATCTTAGCCATGTCTTGCAAAACATGCTGGGGGAGCCCCCTGATTGTGACTACAAGGATGTGTACCCCTTGCCTGTGTGCTTGTCTGGATTCTTTACCATGTCTTACTTTCCTTATTGTTTTAGTGCAAACTGATTGCAAATAACTAAAATGGCTGACCAATGTTTGCATATGGGCAACACAAGGACAGGAAGATGATCAAGATCCTTTTCTGTTGCCCCTGTGGGCCTTCTCATGTGAAGCAGAAAGCTCACTCCGGGAACCACCATCCCTAGATGTTGCCATCAAGCTTGTCTACAACTTCCACAAGAATGGCTGGCTTTCAAAGCACAGGGTCACCAGTCCTGATTCGCTTGCAGGTGGGATTTGTTTTCCCCAACATGTCACTAATTCAATTGCCAAAAGACAAGTCTTTGGTGAATGTGTTGCATCTCCCCCTTTGACTGGGTGATTGTATGATATTAGCCTGCCCTGCAGGCTTCCCACCTTCCTGATGCTGGCTTGGTTGAAGATGGATCGATCAGCGAATCAAGTGCAAACACATCCGGCTGCGAGACCGGCAGGCAGAACTGTTCCATGACTTGATAGTGGCTCTCAATGTTTGTTTTGTGGTCCCCTTTGGCTGAACCACTTCTGAATTGCTATCCCTCTTGCAGTAATGTCAGCCACTTTGAACTTTAGGGCCACCTAGTCTTTCCAAAGTTACAAGCGGTCCACCTGGTTGTCAAAATATTTGCCCAGGTTCTTCAACATGAAGAAAAGTGCAAGTGATGCGATAAGGAGAGCACCCAGTGCAATCTCTTGGGTCTTCAGCCTGGTGAATGTTTCAGCTTGGGGCCGTTCGGATTCAGCATCTTTGATCAAGGCATGGAAACTTGGTTCCAGCTTGCTGTTTTTCTTAATAGAACATGTCCAATACAGCACTCACCCCATGAGAGTACCCCAAATGCCGGTTTAAGACCACAGTATGCTTCCCTGCCGTGGTGTAAGGAATGATGATGCCCCCAAACATGACCGCATTGTGGGGCACAAGCAGCAAGCTGTGAAGACTATCCTTGGGCTCCCTGAAGCTGTGCGCAATACCATTCTTGGAACTGTGTCCCTTCATGGTTGGAAGGTGCCTTGTTGTTTCTATTATTGCAACCTTTTCTTGCTACACGGTGGTTAGGTTTCTGTTCAAATCCCTTGATCCCAGCCCAGGGGGGCCCTACACGGATGATTGCCTTGGGTCCAAGAAGCTGCTGGTGGGTTTCAATTTCAAGACAGGCAAGATATCCAAGAGTTCCCAATGGGCTACACGCTTGAAAAACACAAAGGAGTCAGTCCAGCTGTTGTTCAAGATGGTCCATAGCCAGTTTCTGAACACGCCCCAGAACCAGCGGAGGAAGCTGACCAAGGCTCACTTGGAGGAAAAGGCTGAGATCACAGCCCTGGCTTGCCACTTGGCTTCTGCGTTCTGATTGTATCCTTTGGTATCATGTTATGGGGTGAGTACTTTGGTGAGTAAGCTTTGAGTGTGTCAGATGCTTTTCTAGCCTTGCTAAATTGAGGCTCTATTGTGGATGAGCTGCATGCCCAAGTCCCAAATGTTCTGCCTTTCTGCAAGAGAAGCTGCTTGACATTAGGTGTGGTGTATTTTTTCCTCCCTTGGATGAGGTGTCCTGAAATCAGGTTTTTGCCACCCCTCTCAACCATTTTCTCGACACCTTGGATTCTCCACTCCCTCATGCTGAGCCAAGGTTCTTGCAGCGATTGGAGCGTGGAGATCCAGGTCTGGAAATGGAGCTTGGGTCAGCCTGCGCAGCACGAGATGAAAAGTGGGCTCCACGTGGCAATGGGTGTGTCTTGGCTTTGAACATTTTACAATAGATGTCCAATTGTGTATATGTAAGTGTATAATACAAGATCTAAACCAACCAGCTTTGGGGTGCAAGTGCCAGGTATTTTGGAGATCCTCAATGACATGACTGAAGGGAAAGCTTCCCATCTCACAGGCTCTGCAGAGGCTGCCCTCTTCAAGTCAACCAGTGAGCTGGATGCCTTTGCGCTTACCCTGGAGGAAATTGCCTTTGATGAGCAGTGTTTGTCTGTGTACATGGGCAAACTCAACAACTATGACATTCGGACCCCTCTCTCTCTCTCTCTCTCTCTCTCTCTCTCTGGTGGGTATGGTATGTTCCACCATCCCATCTGGCTGGCGTTTGGGCTGTCTGTGTGCTTTGCTAGTACCTTGTACTCTTTGTGGCCTGCTATCTCAGTGAGAACACCCCTTCTCCTGAGACACCTGAGACACCCCCTCTCCCCAACCACCTAGACAGGCTGAGAGCAGAAGTCCACACTATTTTTAAGTGCGGACCCTTTTGTGTCCTCTCAATACCTCATAGTGCACCTGATCCAGCCAAGCTGGTGGCCCACTTACAAAGTAATTTACTGAACCTTGGTGTGCATGCCTTGAGGTTCATCTCGACTAATTAGTGGGGCTTACTCACTGGAAACGCATCGACTGCATGAAAAGGTGTTGCCATTATGGATCCTTTTTGAAGGAGTTCCCAGAACAATGGCCGCGTCCGACAGAAAATGCCTAAGTTTTCTGGCTCAAAGAACGACGGCTCAAGCCGGCTCAAGTTAACCGATGGTCGGTGTGAGTTTTTTGAACTGAGTTTTTAAACTGAGCTTGTTTTTTGAAAGTTTAAAAAAGTTCTCCACTGCCACCGCCACCTTCCTTGTTTGGCCGAGCTGCAGGACCAGCGTCAGCGCAGCTGCTAGCGGCTGCCGCGGCGGTGTTGGGTTGGGTTGGGTGGGGGTGTGTTGGTAGATGGCCTCCAACTGATGGCCTCCAACCTAATAGGGATGACCCTAGACCCTAATCAAAGAGAATCATAAAGCAAATAAAAGCAAACCCCTGATCAAGTGATTTTCTGCCCTGATCAAATGAAACTCTTTACTTGCAGGTTCACCGTGCAGCCCTGCTAAGTGCGTTTGGAAGCACTTCAAAGACATCTTCGAGATACCAAAACGAAGCTTTCGCGCAGATATTTCGTTTCTTAAACAATTTGAACACCCGGCCACAAGTCCACAGGTTGCGCTCCGTCCACAGATTCTGAGCATGCCAAGTCCAAAGCCACCAAAAACCGCTTTGGGACCATGGACTCTTTTACTGTACCTGCAAGGAAAAGTCACCACCAAGTCCGAACATGTGCACGGCACCACATCTGCAGTCGTTAAACAACTACAATTGAAAACAACCAAAGTATTTTGCCTACCGGGCAAAATTATGACGATGAGGACACGTTTGATCAATTTTGTGCGTGAAGGTCGACGAAATCGCTCCGGCGACCAACGCAAAACCTCACCACAAACCCTGCCTTGCCATCCCCAAGAACCTTAGTTGCGAGCAACCTGTTTGGGGAATCAAGCAACCAGATAGTATATATAATATATATATATATCTAGTATATATCTAGTATCATGTTTAATCCAACTGCTTTTCTTTGGGCCATACACAAGCACATTGGAAGAGACACTCCTTGAACTGGCACTTCCAGCTGTTTGAGCGGCCGCTCCGCTGCCATCGTTGGGGCTACGCTCAATCGCATGTTTTCCTCGTGGTGTTGTGGTGTGGTAAATGCCGTTTGTCGCTGTGCGCCGTATTGTTTGTTTCTCTATGGTTGGTGTTTGTTCCCGTGCGTTTTGCGTATCATACTTACAGCAGTACCCATAAGCATACGTAAACGTAAACTCTTACCCTATTTTATTCTACCCATGCATTATCAAAGCAAACAATATCAAAGAACAACATCATACCGGGTTCGGACTCCCATTCGCACTTTGAAATTGATATTTGTCAGACCCACTCACTCTTCAAACACAATGTGGTTTTTAGTACAAACTTAATATATTCGAGTTTACTCCATGCTTTTCTGGGCAGTTTGATTCCAGTGGGGGCAAAACGTCCATCCTGGTGACAACATGCAACAGCCGCCGCTGTGCCTCAGTCCTGGTGACCTGACGCATGCGACGCTGACATATCGCCAGGCATTGTGGGCAGCAGTTGGACGAGTTTACGACATGCGGAAAACAAGTTGCTTTCATTGATCCTCCACACATTCACTTGACTTTGAGACATGAACAAATTGATGCCCAAACCAGGTGGTTTGGGACTACTTGAACTACCCAGTGCCTGAGGACGCCAATTGAATGTGCGTCAGAGTCAGCATCAATCGTTTGATATCGTTTGTAAATTTTACGTCGAAGGAACAAGCAAAGGCGCCCACACAAGGATGCATTGTATGTCGATTGAACTGGACGATCTGGATGCATAAGGAGGATGAAGAACACACTGGGCGCCACCATAAGAACACATCAAAGAAACATGGACTTGAGGACAACTGTGCTATGTGTAGAGTTTGAAGTTCAAATGCCTCGCAAAAGCTGTCTAGCCATAGTTGCTCTTGGAACCTGAGCCAGTGTGAAGCACAGAGGCAGAGGATACTGTAAAACACATTGCTGCAGCTATCCTGCATCTGGAGTGTGAGACTCAAGCGCAAATCGCTGTGACAGCTAGAGCTGATCAGGCATAATTGCGAAGATTGAAGATTGCATGATGAATCTTATATATTCGTGACAACGGGACTTGACAAGTACACGAACTGACATGGGCACAGTGCTTGCTGTGACTGTCCGGCTTTGACTGTTTGTCCATGATTCACCAAGTTGCTTTAACCGAGGTATGACCACTTCAGACTGTGCTCCCAAGCAGCCCCATTCCTGTAGTCAAATTTTCTACAGATATGAGAGTTGAGTCAAATCTGTCAACTGAACACTTGCTGTGCTAGAGCCCTTCTAAGATCTTGTAGGAAGCAACGCATCTCAAACTCAGCCTCTGAACATTTGAGCTGAGTGAGTAGGTACATAGAGGCTCGTCGTTTGGACGATCCCAGCATTCTTCAACAGCTCGTTCCGCAGGCCTGAGATATTGACTAGCAGCAGCGGGTGTCAGTTGGTGCAACGTGATACAGTATAATTGGTGATGCAAATTTCCTATAACTCCCTAAGTGCATTTGAATCGTTCCTTTCGTACTGTGAGCTTGATTGTGCAGTTTGTATACAAGTAGTTTTGCTTTTGACTGTGGGTAAGGAAATGAGAAGCCAATTGCAAGATCGTGGTTCCTATACTGCGCATCAAAGTACACTCGACTATGTTGCAAAACCTATTCCTCACACCTACTCTGGCGGTTCCTCAGTGCCAGAAATGGAGGTCTCGCTGCGAAACCGACAGTACCGCATGTGGTCCACCAAGGTGGAGCGGGTTTCCGGTTGCAGAGACAAACTGTATTGAAGCTATCAGAAAAAAACAACTTACTATATTGTAATTGGTCGGTTAGAGGAAAGATCATGAACGACATAACAAATGGGATACTGCACTGCACGTGTAGAAAGATATAGACAAATTATTTGTTGTTTGAGGAGTTTTTGCAGAGGAAACTAAGTCTTCCGATGGGCTGTTGCTGTCGCTTTATTGTAGTCTGGACGTTTTCCTAAAGAGCCCAATGCCTTCCAAGATCCTTGAAGCATTCGACGAGATTTGCTCAAAACGTGCGCGACTCAAAGTGATGCTTATCACGTTTTGTACCGCTCGTCTCATGGGAGTCTATTTTTGGTCAGGGAAGAGGGGGGAAGAGTGCTACTGTACATTGGCACAAGCTCTAACTCTAATTATCAAAGAACAAACCAAGAAAAACGGCCCTGAGACCAAAGAAAGCTACGCGCATGCCAACAACGCCAAAAGCATCTCCTAATATGCACAATGCACGGAGTGGCCTTCTTGTGGTGCATGTCGTATGCTGCCCTAGAATTCCGGAAGCTAACTTTGTCAAAGGAAACACATATAGCAAAACTCAGTTACCAATGGCTTGTTATTACATCATACATTTCAGCGGCTAGCACCTATAGAGTACTTATCCTGGTGACGACATGGCAAGACAGGCTTTGTAAGAGAGCTTGCTCAGATACTGTTGGCATGAAGAAGTAAGTCGTCAGTAATCCAATGATTTCCAGGCAACAGCAGGAGCAGTTATATAGAATGGTCTTTCAATGCTCATGAGCATCATGAGCCAAGTTGAGCCAACTTACAAGCATGTTTGCAATCCGCACCTTGTCTACGTCAGAGTCTAGCTGGTGCATTGGCATTCGCTCCTGGCAAGGAATCTATTATCGCTACTATTGTCGGCAAAATGTCGGAATGCCACAATGTAAGGACAGGACATGTTTACTGTACATGTTAAATGTGAATTGAGGATATTTGGTGCCACCCATTTTCCCACCCGAGAGAGCAAACCCACTCTATTTTCCGTTGTTTTCTGGAGGGGTAAAAGTGTTGTTGGCAGCTAACTCGTGAGTCCACGAGCAGCTTTGAGCGAAGGCAATGCATTCCAGAACATGTGCAAAGCAATTTTGCTTTGCTTCATATGTGATATACAGTACAGTATACTGTAGATGCACAATCGGTTCGTACCGACGTATGGCTTGCAAACTAAGCTCTGGAAAGTATCATTTTGCAGAAGCTTGTCAACCATTATATATGGTGAATATTTTACATGAATCATGTTCAATGGGAATGGGAAGGGAATTGCCATCGATTAGTTGAGTTTCCCGAAATATCTAGGAACCAAATGACTAGTTGGAGCGCTTCTTCAAGGAAGCTTCCGCCGCCGCCTTTAAGGCGGCGCGGGGGCTTCCTTGAAGAAGTGCGAGCTATCCTGCGTCCTAAGTAGTAGCTACGTGTAGGTACTAGCGACTCCCTAGCTACTAGCTACTTACCTCTAGCTATTACCTGCCTCCTAGTGGCCAACCCCTTCCTGTAAAAAACATTACACCGCATAGACCCAGATAGCTAGGCAGAATCCCATGACCTGTTGACATGCGACTGGCTGGAACAAGAATGTACGCAGCTGCGCAGCCAGCTTACGGCACCTCCACAGCGCGCACAATCAGCTGACACCAGCACCAGCACCGGGAATAACAACGTATGACCTTGCGCGTATAAGTTTATGCGCACAAAAGTATGCGCGCAAGCAGCAAAGCCCGTAAGTGTCATTGGCCCAAGGCCAAGCAGTATCCAGTAGCATGCTTGAAGCAACGATCTGCAGAACGATAAGGCCGTATGATCTTGCGCGTATAAGTTTATGCGCACAAACGGCAAAGCCCGTAGGCTTCACTCGCCCAAGGCCAAGCAGTATCCAGCACGACTTTATTTTGTGTGTGTAGCATGCTGAAACACGCTGAAACAATGGTCGGTTGAGAGCCTGACGTTGCGCATACAACATTATACGTACAAAAGTATGCGCGCAAACAGTATATCCTTGACGTGTAAAGACACCACAGCGCTAATAGACAAAGAACGCTCAAGCGACAACACCGCATGGTGTTGCGTGCATAAGTTCATGCGGCCCATGACTGCTGGCACTTCATTGTCAGAAGCCGCGCTTGGTCGCCCTTCACTGCTGCCCCGTTCTCGGAAAAATTGTGCCGCGGGAGTGGCCACCTCTTCCAGTGCAAGAGACCAGATGTCGCAGAAATCTGTTCGCAGCGGCGGACGCCACTTGGTGGGGTCGTGTACTTCCTTTTGTTTCCCCTGGGCTCAGTCGCTACGCTGGCCTTCGTAGCCGCCGTCCAAGCCCCAAGCGCCTGGGCGTACTGAAAGCGACTCTCTGGCGTTCTGTGGGTCGGCCGCGGTAGGTGTTCCGCGGCTGGAAAACAAGGCAGATGTCTGCGAGCTTCTTCGATGGCCGAGCGAGACAAAAGAGTGCGAACAAAGTTCACAAGATCGACACACGCGCACGCGCGGATGGAATGACTTGTGGCTATTTCATATCTAAAACCGTCATCACTCGAGCAGGGTCAATTGTATGTAACATTAAACAAGCCAACAAAGCACATTAGAGTCCTCCAGTCGATCCAAAAACTCGGCAATATACGCAGGTGGACCAGTTTCAAAGATAGAAAAATCAATATCGCCTTCTGCTTAGGGGGCGCGCGGGACTTAGCTAGTTGAACTATACTTAAAGTATACTTAGAGTAGACTTACGGCATGATAAGTCTATTATAAGTTGGTTATTTCAATGGTAAGTAGGTGTTGGTGTTTAAGTTAGTTGTGATATACTTAGCCACTTATGCACTACTTATAAGTAGATCATTCAAACTGACAAAATACTTACGAGCTACTTACAAACGACTTAGCTACTTAGTTTTTTTGGTTCTTTAGAAGCACTGTTTAAACACTCGTCGATATATGGCCATGAAAGTGATCTATTTTGGCTGAGTCGTGGGCTCCAGCAACCGGTTTTGTTTTTTCGGCCCGCATGGCTTTGTCTACACAGCAGAAAATGCTTTGATGCGCTTGCTACCAGCTGCAAGAGCGGAAGTGTCCTCGCTGCCAACTGCAGGAGCGGAAGTGTCCTGGAGAGACATCTCCCTGTGGCTGGAAACAAGCCTGCTCTTCATGATGGCGGTCAGGCGTGGGCTTGAAGCCGCGGCATAGTAGAATGTCCGCGCCTGTCCGCCAGTGTCCGCGGCTGTCCAGACACCAACACCCACAGAGCTTCAGGTGACAAGCTTGGGGATGTCCGCGAATGTCCGCAAGCTAAGGTGGATAGGCGGCCTAGGACAGCAGGGCTAGGTATACAAGTGTCCGCGGCGGACGGAGTGTCCGCGTGAAAAAGTGGATGTCCGCGAATTGTCCGCGGCGCGTTACAAGATTTGTCCCTTTTGTGCACTTCTTCTGCTTTGTTCTTTGATATTTTTATAGATGCAGCTTTTATGTTCTCTGCAGCCGTGGTGTTGTCGCCTTCCCAGCGTTTCTTGGCTGCCGCACCATGATGCAGTTGAGGCATGTGGTCTCAGCCGATTTCTTGCGTAGGTGGCTGACGTTAGAGGAAGCCCTTCAAACGAAGGAATCTCCGCTGTTTTTACCGCAAAGACGGCCAAGATGTCAATTTTTGAAAACATGTTAAAACGCTTAAAAATAGCCATGCCTACTTATAAACTACTTACAAGCTACTTACGACCTACTTATAAATACCAGAAATCGTAAGTGTGTAAGTCCCCCGTAAGTAACTTATAAGTAGCTAAGTCCAAAGTGCCACCTAAGTGCCGTCTCTGGCAAATTGCGAAATAAGGAATACTCGAGAGCTTGAGCACGTCCAAGAATCATGTACAAGTGCTGCGTATAATCGTCTGCCGAGAAATAATCTGGCTCGAAAAATCAATCGTGTGGCCAACTCCTTTGATGGTCTTGCCTTGGGCATTGTTCTAGGTTCCAGCAGCCAGCGGAGCAAGAGAATACTGTATCCGAGTAACATCCAACATCATCTCCTTTGCGATGCAATTGCACGCGGGAAGAATCTTCACTCGGTTCCAAATGCCACACTCCAGGCAGAAGCTGCCCAATATAATCTTCTTGCTGATCCTGTTCAAGTCAGGTGTGACTCAGAGATGCATGGTTCCTACAGAAGAGAGTGTTAGATTAAACTGATGTTCGCAAACTGTGCAGGACACCTGTCTTTAGTCACATCCAGCCTGTTTCGCGCTCCTCAGTGGCACGGCGCCACGCAAACACACTTCCCACCAAGGCCGTGCAAATCCCAATGGCGCTGCAACATCACGAACGTAATTTCGCCACACGGTCTGCCCATACACTAGAAGCAAACATATCACATGAGACCGCCAACCATCCCGCTCACCAGCGACACGCTGCGTTTACACCAGCCTGTTTCGCGCTCCCCAGTGGCACGGCGCCACGCAAACACACTTCCCACCAAGGCCGCGCAAATTTCAATGGCACTGCAACATCGCGAACGTAATTTCGCCACACGGTCTGCCCATACACTATAGAAGCGAACATATCACATGAGACCGCCAATCATTATCCCGCTCACCAGCGACACGCCGCGTTTACACCAGCATGTTTTGCGCTCCCCAGTGGCACGGCGCCACGCACACACACTTCCCATCAAGGCCGCGCAACTCCCAATGGCGCTGCAACATCACGAACGTAATTTGGCCACTCGTCCTGCCCATACACTACAAGCGTCTCGCGCGAAACATTCTCCAAAGGTCATGCCAGCGTTTCGTACGAGACTTCCTCAAAAAGTCACACGTCAAGTCTCCAAAACGAACGTTTCGTACGAGACTTCCTCCAAAAGTCAAGCGGAAACACACATCACGCAGCCCTGCCAAGCAGTTTCGCGATTCCAGCCCCTCCAAACAACGCCCGGTCACATGCCAATCCCAATAGTCTTGTTCGACTGCAAGTGGCACTTTTCCAAAGTGCAAGTGACTCTTGGCTCAGAGTGTGCACACTTCAAAAACTCAGAGTTCCCATCATCTCATCCCATGATGCCAGGAACATATAAATCATCCCATCAATGATACTAGTCAGAATTTCATGAAAGCTGTTGGTTTATCCTCCCCTTCACAGCCATGACCTCGTCTTCATCTACATCATCGTCAAGCAGTGATGGGGAGGACTTGGAAGCCCGACTCTTGTACTGCTTAAACCAAAAATTGTGTTGTTGGACAGATGAAACCTGCCGCAG